GAGAACAGCCGAGCTCCATCCTTTTTGGAACCCCCCTTCAGGTAGTTGAAGGCTGCTATCAAATCCCCCCTCACTCTTCTGCAGACTAAATAACCCCAGTTCCCTCAGCTGCTCCTCATAAGTCATGTGCCCCAGCCCCCTAATCATTTTCATTGCTCTCCACTGGATTCTCTCCAATTTGTCCACATCCCTTCTGTAGGGGGGGGGGGGGGGAGGAGACACCAAAACTGGACGCAGTACTCCAGGTGTGGCCTCACCAGTGAGGAATAGAGGGGTATAATCACTTCCCTCAATCTGCTGGCAATGCTCCTACTAATACAGCCCAATATGCCGTTGGCCTTCTTGGCAACTTGCATCTATGCAACCTTATTACCCTCAACTATAGCTATTATCTTCCAAGGGTTAACACAGGTGTAAGGGAGGGCACAAATTGGAGACAATGGGGTTGGAGGGTGGCTCTGCAATTGGAACTTGGTTAATGAGTCCATTGATGATGTGCAAGCTAGAAGAGAATCCAGTTCGCTCTCCCAATGCTGTGTCAGTTCTGCAGGTCTGACATGAAGTAAGAGTTTCACATGAACAGATAAAACAATGCAGAGAAGGAGCAGGCCTGCTGAGTAAGGTATTACTCTTTTTACAGTTGCTTTTCAGGTTTTACCACACTAACATGAGATCATGCAGATAGTTTTGTTCCATAGTCAATAGAAGGAAGTGGACAAATAAAATGCAAGCAAACCAACTTTTCGAGTATAAACTTGAAAAAAAAAATCTAATACAAGATCAAATCTTGCTGTGCCCCCACATCATCATCTAGGGTTAAGATGATGTCTCCATGAAAGCTGTGCCACATCGTGTGGTGTGGTAACTCCTGAAATTCATGTTCATAGTCACAGCCGTAAAGTAACACACAAGTTACTATAGAGGACGCACACTTGCTACTGTTGCAGGTAAGGGATTCCATCATACATGTCCTTTTTCCAAGGCTACACCTAATATGAATTCACAATGGGATAAGGCTCTAAGTTTTAGGGCAACTCAAGGAAAAAAAAAAAAAGCCTTAAATCGCCATTTCAAAAAAACTTCAGTGCCCAAGCTGCTAAGTTCAAATCAGGGTTAAGAGGCCCAGATGGAGGCAGCCCTGCCCTACCCTGCACACAGAAACACCCTCCGAACTTGTGTTTGTATAATGCAAAAAAATTACTAACAACCCTATTTAAATTATGTCTGCAACTAGCCTACAATACTACCAATTACTTTTAATATTCTGGACTACTGTTCAAGGCTATTACAGACAGACAGTTACCTTTATAATAGCTACTCATCATACAGTTTTACTAGACATCCATATCAACATTTGTACCAATTCCAACCTGAAGGTTAGCGGCTGCTCTCAGATTAATCTCTGCTTGGAAGTTTTCCATTCAAATGCTGACCAAGTTCAAGTGTACTAAGCTCAGTATTACTAGCCTCCAGTGTTCAAAAAAAAAAAAAAATTAGTCAAGTTCCCTCTAAGCTGCACAGCCACGCAGCAGGCTATCAAGGGTGGGGAGAGGTGCCTCTACCCCAGCTGTTGCAGGAAGGGAGGGCTGGGGGGAGTCCTCTCTCCCCACTGCAGCCTCAGGGCAGCCTATACCCCAAACCCCTCAGCCCATACCCCCAGCCAGAGCCCTCACCCCAACCCTCTGCCCCAGTCTTGAGGCCCTTCCTGCACCTTGAACCCCTCGGCTCCATCTCTGCCACACATCACCTCCATATTGGTGCACGTAACACATAAGAGGGAGCATTGGTCAATCCTTCCTCCCCCTCCCCCCCCCAAAAATGCATGAGATTTTATAAAAAACATTTTGGTTCTTTGCTTTCTGGATTTTGAAACTTCAGGATTCATATGTTCTACAACAGCCATAAGGGCTAGAAACTTACTTTGAAAAAATGATGAAAGCTGAGATTCTCATGTAGTCACGTGACTCCAGGAGCTAGCTCTCTTTATATATTTATTTTAAAAAGGAAAAAAGGGGGAAAAAACCACAAATATTGCAAGACTTGTGATAAAACTAGGAGAGTCGACAACACTGACCGATCACAGCCCCAGATGACATGCCTTTCCATGAACACTTAGGACCCCTAATGCAGCATGACTTACCATGATCTGAATCTCTCTTTTGCAGACTTGCAAATCATGCTCATTGTTGACGTACATTCGTTTCAGGGCACATTTCATCCCATTGTTAGTCCTCACCAGAAACACGATAGCAAATCCACCTGTAAGAAACAGCTCATTCAGTAATGGAGAAACGCCTTGATCCGTGCTTCCAAGCCTTGTCACTTGGCTTCTGGCTGTTTTCACAGCCTCCTTGGTAAGGAGGATATTCAGCAGCAGTCCTTCGTGACAGTATCTTTGATCAGCCCAGCACTGCAGCTTGTATCTCTACTTACATGGTTATTTCAGGGAAATAAGCATCGGAAGGGGCAAATTTTCAATTAAAGAAATCAAAGTCAAGAATATACCGATAGCAACAAGCAATTATGCAAGTTACTTAGCATGCCACATGGTCTTTTATTGCACCATTAGTTTCCATTAGAGAGGAAATATGGAATATAGAACAGCAGCACTGCCTTCTACAGAAGCGAGAACCACAAAACATCCACGGCCTTCACTAAATGCCTCAAGCGGCGCACATTTACAGCTTTTGAAGCACTTTTGCAAATTGCATTAGAAGCCCAATTCCTGCCACATGGAACACAAAGCAATCTCCTGTGCGTTGTTTGATGGTATTGCTTTAAAAAAGCATCACACAATTCATTTTGTGGTCATGACTATTAGCGAAGTCACGACCCCTACAACCTACACCGCTGGCTTATGAGGAAAGTCTTTCATCTTTATTACCAATGCTCAGAAATAAAAAAAGGCCAGTACTGCGTACTTGGAACACTCGACAAGAATAGGACGACTAGAGTATTCTCTCATCAGAATTTTGAGCCTGGCTTTTAGAGATCAAAACAAATTTGGACGCAGGGATTCCAATCGCCTTCAGCACATTGTTGAAATGATACATAATGATAAAAAAGAAGACAGCAGCATACTCAAAATGACAGCCTAACAGCAGTGTGGGGACATTTCTTTATCCTTAAATCATAGCAGACATTTCCTTAAAGTATCTGAGCTACTAGCAATAATGTATTTTTGGACTTTAACTCAGTATCTCCTTCAGCACACCAAGAGAGATCAGGCTCCAATGTGCTAGGAGCTGTACTTAGTACAGACGAGACCATCCATGCCCCAAGAGCTACGATCTAAACAGAGAAAGTGTGGAAGAAAAAGGGGAAGAACAGTATTGTGGTTAGAACATTAGCCTGCGGTTCAGACTTCCCCAAGATCACACAAGGGGTCTCATTGTGCCTCAGTTCCCATCTCTCAAATGCGGATAATACTAACTTTCCCACCAATGGGGTGTTGTGAGGTGTAGGGTGACTGGGCCCTCACAGGATATCTAGACTATAATCATACCTAGATATTTATTATTAACCCCATTTTACAGAATGGGGAAACCAAGACACAAAGGGTAGGTCTGTACAGCAAAGAAAAACCTGCAGCTGGCCCGTGCCAGTCGACTCAGACTTGTGGGACTGTTTCATTGCTGTGGGGACTTCCAGGACTCTCCCATGGCACAGGGTCCTAGAGCCCAGACATCTATACAGCAATGAAAGAGCCTTGCAGACTGAGCCCTGCGAGCCCGAGTCAGCAGGTCTGGGCCAGCCGTGGGTGTCTAGTTGCTGTGTAGACATACTCAGAGAATAGGGAGCAATGCATCCAGGTGCTACTTACATGCCTGAAGTTAAGCATGTGCTTAAATGCTTGGTTGGGTCACAGCCTAAGACAGTGACTTGTGAAAAGTCTATGGCAGAACCAAGAGCTGAACCCAGACCCGCCCCCTCCCAGTGCCTCGACCATGAAACCCCAATGTATGGATAATGAATTCCTTATAATATAAGGAATTAGTACATGTTCAAAGCTTTCATTTGTGTGGGTTCTGGGGGTAGCAGGTTTGAGGGTGGGAGGAGAAGACAAGCCTTTTGATAACATGTCCACTTATGTGGTGTAATTGTAAGTACAGAACTTGTATTAACATTTAAAAAAAGAAGAAAAAAAAAAAGATTCATTCTTGGGTACAGAACCACCTGTGTAGTAAATACCCCAATCCATTAGCTAATATATTCCACCACATTACGGTGACTTTAAACATTTGAGTGGGTAACCAAATCAAGAATAAAATTAAAATTTCCGTCTAATCTAATGGGGGTTGGGGGAGCAACACAATTCTCATTACATCACCACTTTTGTGTATGTACAGAGCCTAGTACGAGGACCTTGTTCATGACAAGGGCTTCTAGGAGCTCTCGTAATATAAATAAACCAACCACCACCGATGCTACATGCCCCTTTCAAAGGGGCTATCAGAAACTTTTGCTTTCTGCATTCTGGAAGGACTCAAGAACTCTCTTCACTTGGATCTTGCAGAGTGCACGGTTCAACCCAAGGGCTGGAGCACAGAGACTGCTTTCATCAGTCCTGTGAAACACAGGACCATCAATGAAGAGATCAGTGCTCGTGCCTTGAAGACTTCAGGTTTCTTCTGGGCAGGGAAACCTCTGGTCATTGCTCCTCAAGAAGGGACCAGCAGGAGTGTACTTTTCAGTAACAGGTTCTGTAAATAGCAGCTTGGGCTGACCATCCTGGTTCTCAAAGGGTATTTTCACCAACATGTGCAGCTTTTTTGACAAGCTAGTGATCTGAGCATGTTTAAGGGCCCACCTCCCTGTGGGCATGCTGATCTAATCCTCTACAGATGCTAGATGGATGGCCTCTCATGAATGGAGACAGTGCTGGTGTGACATCCTGTGCCAAGATGCTACAGGGGGAGCAGCCAGAAGCGTACGTGGCTAAGGAAAGAGCAAAGTTCAGTTTGTGAACTGGAATAAGGTTCTACAGCAGCAGCAAAAACCTGGAATCTAGTCATTGAAATTCATCGCTAGGACACCCAAGACAGCTTGCCCTCTTTTAATACACTCTAGAATAGAACCAAGGCTACATTGCTTTTTGTTCTGATGCCATGGACATTTTAAGTATCAAGCCCATCAAGTCACTTACCTTGGACTTATCTCCCTCCTCCTCCCCAGACCTTACCATAATAAGGATGGATATTTTACTTCCGCATCAAAGACACAGTTATAGTTACCAGCCCCATGTGAATGGCATTTTAAGGCCAAAAAGGCAACCGAATACACTCTCAAAAGTGACAAAATCTGAACCCGTTCAGACTCCAGGATCATGAATTTATTTGCAGGGAGTAGAGGGGGAAAGAGCAGGTGGAATGAGCCCACTGCAGTTTTGTAACAAGCAGTAAAATGGATTCTGCCAATTTACATATTTAGCAGCAAGCGTCTCTCCTTACAGGGCTTTCAAAAGGTTTAAAGATACAAAGGGAGACAGAACACTTAACTCAGGCAGGCTCTTTGTGAAATATTCATCTTTGCCTGGGATCACTTACAAACCTGATCTGTGAAGTTAAATGCAGATATAGTACCTGGGGAAGGCAATGAAAAATTAAGTGACTTTCGTAGAGCAGAAGTTCTCTAATAGGGGCTGACACCAGACACCTCAGAGTTAGGCCTAGGATATTTATGTATAGGTAGTAATCACATATTTGGGACCCAACTGTGCGTACGCGGGTTTCTTCATGTTATGTTGCACAAAGATATAGCCACCTGCTAAGTAAAATTTAGCATTAAAATCATTTGCGTTTGACAGGCTAACAATAACTAGTGATTGCGGGTTGTTTCCAAAATTGGATGTATATGCAGTCTAAGGCCTGGTCCACACTGACTTTAATTCAGATTTAGCAGCATTAAATCGAATTAACCCTGCACCCATCCACACAAAGCCATTTATTTCAAAATAAAGGGCTCTTAAAAATCGATTTCTGTAATCCACCCCGACGAGTGGAGTAGCGCCAAAATCAATTTTGTCATTTCGAATTAGGGTTAGTGTGGCCGCAATTCGATGATATTGGCCTCCGGGAGCTATCCCACAGTGCACCATTGTGACCGCTCTGGACAGCGATCTGAACTCTGATGCACTGGCCAGGTAGACAGGAAAAGCCCCGCGAACATTTGAATTTCATTTCCTGTTTCCCCAGCGTGGAGAGCACAGGTGACCACAGATAGCTCATCAGCACAGGTAACCATGCAGGCCGATAATCGAAAAAGAGCACCAGCATGGACCGCACGGGAGGTACTGGATCGGATTGCTATATGGGAAGAGAATTCAGTGCTAGCAGAACTTGGTTCGAAAAGACAAAATGCCAAAACTTTTGAAAAAAAATCTCCAAGGGCATGATGGAGAGAGGCCACAAAAGGGACTCAGATCAGTGCCACGTGAAAGTCAAGGAGCTCAGACAAGCCTATCAAAAAACAAAGGAGGCAAACGGTCGCTCTGGGTCAGAGTCGCAGACATGCCGCTTCCATGCCGAGCTGCATGCAGTTCTGGGGGGGGTGGGGGGGAGAGCCCGCCACCACTACCCCACCTCTGACCGTGGATTCCGAGGCGGGGATAATCTCAGCTACACCTGAGGATTCTGGGGACAGGGAGGAGGAGGAGGAGGACGAGCTTGCAGAGAGCACCCAGCACTCCGTTCTCCCCAACGGGCAGGATCTTTTTCTCAGCCTGACTGAAGTACCCTCCCAACCCAGTATCCAAGACCACGACCCCATGGAAGGGACCTCAGGTGAGTTTACCTTTTAAAATATAAAAAACTTGTTTTAAAAGCAAGGGTTTTTAATGATTACTTTGCCTTGAGGACTTGGGATGCATTCGCAGCCAATACAGCTACTGGAAAAGTCTGTTAACGTGTCTGGGGATGGAGCGGAAATCCTCCAGGGACATCTCCCTGAAGCTCTCCTGGAGGTACTCCAAAAGCCTTGCCACAAGGTTTCTGGGCAGTGCAGCCTTATTCCGTCCTCCGTGGTAGGACACTTGACTGCGCCATGCTTGCAGCAAGTAATCTGGTATCATTGCATGACAAAGCCTGGCAGCGTATGGTCCCGGTGTTTGCTGGCATTCAAGCAACATCCATTCTTTATCTCACTGTGTAATCCTCAGGAGAGTGATATCGCTCATGGTAACCTGGTTGAAATACGGGAATTTAATTAAGGGGACAGAGGTGGCTGTTCCTACTGGGCTGTTTGCCTGTGGCTGAAAAGAA